CTGACTGACTGACTATATTAGCAGAGAGTATACCTTAGCTGAAAAGTGAATTTCTAAGGCTAGAACAACAAATGTCTTCAAACCTTAATAATTATTTCAATGAAATGTTTAGTGTCAGAAGTACTGTATATACTTGTGTATAAGCTGAGTTTTCCAGCACATGTTTAATGCCATTTTTGTGGTAAAATTAGGTGCCTTGGCTGATATTTGGGTGGGCTTATACTCGAGTAGATATGGCATTTAAAAGTAAATATTTAGTAAATTTAGTTTTGTTTAGGATTAGATGCTTTGAATGTTCCTGTGATTACTTCTTAGAATTATATTTGGATTTAAGGTAGTGTTCTAGACGGAGTTATTTGCTTTTGTGTGGGAGGAGATAATGTGGACATTACTTGTTACCAAGCTGGTGTTTAAAGGAACCCTGGCAGGGCTGTCAGGTAAGCATTGGACTGTTAACTGCAAGGTGGGCAGTTCAAACCCACCAGCTTCTCCTTGGGAGAGAGATGAGGCTGTCTGCATCCATAAAGATGTACAGCTTTGGAAACCTTTATAGGGTCACTGTGAATCAGAATTGACTTGTTGGCAGTAGGAATAATAGCCCGGTAAATGCCTTCTACTTTTTTTTTTCCAAAACCATTTTATTGGGTACTCTTACAGATATATCATTCCATAGTTCAATCACATCAAGCAGGACGGCACAATTGTTTCAAAACCTTTCTTCCTTCTCGGACTCCTTGATATCAGCTCCCGGTTACCCTCCCCCGCCACCATCTCCCACTTTCGTCTGAGGACAGTAACATGGAACTAAGATCAGTGTTCGCAAAGGAACTTTGCAGAGTTTCTTATTTCTTGGAGAATGGGCCCGTAGGACAGTTGAGACAATTGTGACTTGGGTCGATTTTGCAATTGGGAGGAAAGTACAAGTAGTCGATGCCAAGTGCATGGTCATGGGGGAGAAAGTGCCTGTGTGGCAGGTGAGCAGACCGCCCTTTTAGCAGGCGCAGGGTGCCTGGTGTTGGGCAGTGCCTTTACACGGAACCAGACTGAGCAGAGGCTCCCCTGCAGTGTGTCCACCTTCCATGGCTTCTCCTGCGAGCATTTATCTCTGCTGGGTTCTGTGGCAGCCCTTGTTTGAGACAAATGCAATGATCCTTTTTGCTCGGGGTATCCCATCGATGATAAAATGTCTTCCTCTAAAGTCTATATAAAAAATACTTTTTCTCTTCTAGAAATCATGCCTTTCACCTGTGTGCTTGAAAATCCGTATAATGTGTATTTAGTATCTAGTGTTCAGGAGACAGTCCTCACACATACATATTTATTTGGCAAGGTGGGAAACAAAAGGGTGTGAGAGTCAAGCTATGCCGAGCCTGGTTTAATTGCACAGTTTTGGAAGATAGAGGTCTTGACCTCCCTGTGTTTTCTACCAGCTCAGACACACTGTGAAGCCTCCCTCCGATCTAAACATCCTGCCATGGCGATGACTTTCCTTGCAGTCAGCCCCCAACTCTGGGAGACTCTGGCCTGTCCTGTGCCATCCCATAATTGGCTGTGCATCGGACCATTGTAATCCATGGGGTTTTCTCAGACTAATTTTTGGAAGTGGATTGCCAGGCCTTTCTTCCTAGTCCATCTTAGCCTGGAAGCACTTCCGAAACCTGCTTTACACAGTAACAACAGCAAGCTTACATGGACAGACGCACAGTACATGGGGTACTTTCGCTGGGAATCCCTATTCGCCCCTAAAGAACCTTTCTAGAAATCACTCTGTGTGGTGTCTTTCTGGTCATGTCTAAGAGAAGCTTGGGCTGTGGAAGTTCAAGGGTTAAGAGCAGGTTAAGAATTTTATTGGTCAGAAGTGATTACTACTCTCGAGACTCCCCACCCCCCCACCCCCTGGGCTAAAACTGAGCGGTGGGGAGAAAAGGGGCAACTGAACAGAGTGCTTGGGAGAGAGGAGTGTAGAAGATCAAAGGAGGCATAAATCTGATCTTAACAGTTAGAACTTTGCCAGGAGCATGAAAAAATAATAATTTCTAAATTATCAAGGGATCATGAGGGAGGGAAGGTGGGGGAGGAAGGGGAAAAATGAGAAGCTGATACCAAGGACTCAAATGGAAAGAACATGTTTTGAAAATGATGATGGCAACAAATGTACAAATGTGCTGGATACAATCGATGGATGTATAGGTTTTGATAAGAGTTGTACAAACCCCCAAGAAAATGATTAAACAAACAAACAAATAAACAATTTGGTCAGGAGAGCCCCCTGTGATTCAGCCTGGGGGTTTGGGGGACCAGTATGGGGGTGGTGGTGGGGTAAAGGGAGACGATGTCAAGGAGTCCATGTAGAAAAAGAGTGTTTGGAAACTGATTGTGGTAGCAATTGTACAATCCTACATGATATGACATATGTATTAAATCTCAGCTACTAATGAGAGAGTAGAATCTCTTGTTCTGGTGATAATTGTTGAACATTTCTCTTTCATGGCATGTTTGACATGTTTGCTATGGTGGGGCAGACCATAGTTAATGCATAATAAAGGTCTTGCTGAGATCTTAATACAAGGAAATGTTTCCTTAGCCAAATTTTGGTCGGTTATACTGTAAAGGCCATGATGGCAATTTGTAGAATTGACCCTTGGGTTGGATACCTGTTTTAAGAAGTACTTTCTTGATCAAAAAAAGACTGGTAACTGTGTTAGCTCAGCCAGCTCGTTGGTTGTTCTTAATAAATCAGAGCCTTGAATTTTCCATTAAAAATTAAGTTCTA